AAAATCTAACCCGATCATATCATTTCTCTGGCTAAAAAATTTCCACTGCCTAGTTATTACAAGATAAGTTCAAATTTTAAACATAGCATTTAAACTGTAGCATAATCTTGCCACAACTATTTCTCCAATGTTAACTTTTGCTACAACCCTTTCTTCATGTTCCAGTGATTTTCTTCATTATTTTGCAACTACTCATATATTTGTTCAACATATATTTATTGAGCTCTATGAATTCATGAGACACTCTGATAGGCCCTGGAAATAAAGGCACATTCCTTGCTGTTAAAAAATTCATAGTTCAGTTGAGGTTATAGACAAGGAAAGAAATGGCTACAACATACTGTGACAAGTGCTGCCTGTGAGCAGGGTATGTACAATGATCTGACAGCCTGGGGCAAACAGGTGGAAGGAGAAAAAGAAGATGAACATATGGTAGAGACAAAGAAGTTAACTGAAAGAGAAGGTTAGTGAAAGGGAAGAAAAAAGGTAATCCAAGCTGATGGAAATAAAGTTATAGAGATGAGAAACTACACATTTGGTAAAGTACAAGAAGAATGTCATGGCTGAAGTGTGGGATGAGTATGTAGGTTGGATTGGAGGTAAGGTCAAGAGGTGAAAGGACCTGAATTCTAAAGAAACCTAAATATTTTGGAAAAGAGTTCAGAGCTTCTTTATATCCACTTTTCCTGCTGTTAAGAATGATTTTTCCCTTTCTCCTGCCCAACTTAAACTAATAAGAATAAATCTTTTCCCAGAAATCTATTAAACAAATATTTGTTGGAACACTTACTAGATACCATGTGTTTTTCTGGGTTCTTGGGAAATACTAGTAAAATTCTTGCTGAGGAAGTAGATATAAATGATAAACATAATAAACTGTTGTATTATTCAACTTAGAGTAAAAATACAGTTTTAAGAGTGGCAGTGCAATGGAAAAAAGAAAAAGCAGGGTAAAGGAGGCTGGAGTAAACAGGGAGAGTATGGGACAGGTTGGAATATTAAATAAAATGGCCAAGTAAGTAAAATTTGAAGGAGAGGGAGTTAGCCAAATGAATAGCTTTCCAAAAGATATTCTAGGCAGAGGGAACACTTAAAAGATAGTAACAGGAGATGAAGTCAGAAAGATCAAGTGGGACTTTTAGACTATTAAGGAGTTAAATCTTAATAAAGTGGGGAACCACCTTTGGATTTTGACCATTGGGGTGTTGTGACTAATGTTTTAGGATGCTTGCTCTTCATGCTGTACTGAGAAAATACTGTAAAGTTGCAAGGATAGAAGCAGGGAGAACTGTTAGAAGCTGCAGGAATGCCTAGTATCTATTTGTGTGCAGTAGGGGAGCAGTAATGATTCTGAGCATTATGAGGCAGCTAGATTTCTTAGCAGAATACTTGGTTCTCAGTAAATTATACCGATGTGATGATTTTAGTTCATAGTTGTGGACTTTAGATATGCCACCTAATACTACAGATTATAAGTTGCCCTTATAATATGTAAAATTCAAAGTCCATGCTTTCACAGGCTTCACAAGCCTCTAGGATCTGCAGAAAAGGACTTAGATTTTGGAAATAGTTTGTGTCCTATTAAGACCTTGAAAATTCAGTGATGAAGATGGCCATCTTACTTCTAAAGTTAAACAAAAACACAGTTTTGACTCAACTTTGAATGTATTTATACACTGAGGGATATGCCCTAAAATATAATACCATATAAGACACAGTGAATAATGATAAACATTTAAAAAATATTTTTTTTAGTTGTACATGGGCACAATATTTTTATTTTGTTTATTTATTTTTATGTGGTGCTGAGGATGGAACCCAGTGCCTTACATATGCGAGGCAAGTGCTCTGTCACTGAGCCACAACCCCAGCCCAATGATAAACATTTTAACTAAAACACTAAACAGAACAGACAAATCAAAACCTCTAAGATCCATATTATAGAAAGACTAAAGAAGATCTTGTAAGATATTTTACTTTATTTAGTTCTGAACAGTCTTATGTTACATTSGGGCAATTATTTTGACAAGTAGCTCACTTTGGCTAAAGCTCATTTAAAAATTATATACATATATATTAAAACCAATGCAAAATTTTAATTCAAGTGAAAAGTTTGTAACAGTACAGTATAGTATTTTCTACATAGCATTGCTTTTTGTGATGTTTATAAATGTTGGTATAATATATACTGTGACAAAATTTTATTTCATGAAGGTATGTGACTAATGGTAGACTTATTTATTTAATACTGGGGATTGAACTCAAGGATGCTTCACCACTGAGCTACATTCCCAGTACTTTTTATTTTGAAGCAGGGCCTTGTTCAGCAACTAAGGGTCATGCTAAATTGCTGAGGCTGCCCTTGAACTTGCAATCTTCCAGCCTCATCCTCCAGTTACTGGGATTACAGGCATGTGCTACCAAGCCTCGAAGTAGATAATATTAATATAATTCCACCTCTAAGAATTTTATTTAGTAGAAAAACTTATCTAGCTGTAGTAAAGACTGTAAAAAGGAAACAAACAGTAAGCCCACTTCTGCTTCAATCCTGTAAGAAGTCAAATGTCTCAGTGATTCAGGTTCATGTCCATAGAATTTCATATGTTGGCATGTCATTAAAGTAGGTGAGATTAAAATAAATTAAAATTAAATAAATTGAGTTTATAAGATCTCATCTGGTTTGCCTAGCTCCAAACAGATTAAATTCGATTTGTAGCATGTATGCATCTTGGAGAAACTGGTGATTAACAACGATAAATAACAATAAAAACAGCAGCTAAGTAGACCGTTTCCTTTTCTCTTTCCAATAACAGGGCATGGGAGAAAAAAACATAGAAATTTAAGCTTAGTAATCGCAGGAGATTTCTAGGGCTGCTTTGTCTGTTCCCAGTTCTTTTAAATTGGGAGCTAGTCAGATGGTACCTGGGGAACAGAAGGAGGAGGGAGAGAGCTTACTACACAACAAAGAGGTAAATATAATACAAACCCCAAAGGCTTTACCACCACTCACCAGACCATAATCTGACCTGGTATTAAACCGCGCGAGAGTGCAAGGCAGGGAAGGGGTGTGTACATCCAGACACACAGCGCAACTCTGTCGTCCACAGCGCTTGGAGAGCGCGGGAAGAGAGGGGTGACCCCTTGCCATTCACGCCCAGCCCAGTCCCCCACGTGGCAGCTCTTGGCCCCGCCCCCGCGGGAGGGTTGTCTGGGCGGTGCTCAACCCAGCGCAGAGCCAGGAGGCGGCCACTTCATTCCTCCAGGAGTGGCTTTGCCTCTACCCTGGTCTTCTTTCATTGAGCCCTTCTGCGTGCTTCAAATATCAGACTTTTACAAAACCTCGGATCTCGCTTCTCTGCCTCCTTGCAGACTAACGTGAGAGCCCAAAGGGCCAAACAGGCAGAAGCCCTAGACCCAAGCACGCTCCTCCTCTCCCTCCGGTTGAGACTTAAATCTTCACCCTCAGCGTCCAGCCGGCCGCCTATTCATTCTCACCCCCTCCTCGACAATCCCTGAGTGTCCCAATCTCCCCTCCACGGTCTCCTACGTCTTTCCCTCAGTACCTCTCCTAGAATTCTCTCCCACCAGCCCTGTTTTCCAGAACTTCCTCACCCCGCGTCACCACCTGAGGTCCCACTCCCTCTTATCCCCCCACCCCACACCCAGGTAACTCCTCGCAGCTCTTCCTCCTTCCTGGCTCCCATCCCTGACATTTCAGGGGGACCCCCTTGTGCACGTCCTCCCCATTCCAGGACTCCACCCCGGACAGCTCCGGAGCCCTTTCTCCAAGCGCTCCACTCCTTCACCTCAGGGCCTGACACGCGGGCTCCTTTCCCCGGTACCCCCACCCAACTCCGTCTCCGACCTGATAACTGGCGCTTCACCGCACGCACGCTCCCTACCCGCCCCACACCTCGGGCGCCGCCGCCCAGTCCCCACGCTCACACCCCTCTCAACCTCCCCACCTGCCACACCTGGCACGCTCTTCTCCACCTTCGCTCCCACTCTTCCCCGCACTCTCGGCAATCCGCGTTCCTCTTTCCTACCACTCCCGCTCCGGCCCCAACCCATTTGGGTGGGGCGCCCGCCGTGCCCCGGCCTGGGCAACGGGGAGGTGACGCGGCCCCCGCGGGGAGAGCCTGGAAGGCGGAGGGGCGGAGGCGGCGCGGGCGGCGGCACCAAGCAGCGGCGGCGCAGCGAGCGGGCCCTACGCGCCGACTCCACAGACCCAAGGGGCGGCGGCGGCGGCGGCCGAGGGACCCCGAGCAGCGCGTGATGAAGGCGGGGAGCCCGACCCTGCTGCGCGTCGGAGCTCGCTTGAATCCGGACGTTGACAGTGGAAGGGCCTTGGCCAGAACACTCTCCGCCACTAGCCCCTGTCATTCCTTCTCGGCTTTCGCTTTTCCACTCTAGCCCAGGGTGGGGGTGGAGGTCTCCTGCTGCAGCCTCGGGCCCCGCGGCCCGATCTTCACCGTTTCTGGAGGGGTCCTCTCTCAGAGCGAACAGGAGCCCTGTGACGCGTCAGCCGGCGGGACGGCTGAGCTGCTTCTCAGGGAAATCGCCCTGCTTCCTCACTACCCTCCCCGCTTTTGCCTCAGCGCCCCAAAGGCCCGCCGATCGCCGCCTCTCGGCGATCGGAGCGAGTTCCCGGAACTCCCCCGGGGGCCTGGTTCGCAGGCACCCCTTTCACCTCTGAACGACGCGCGCGCCCCCGGCCCCCGCGGCGGCCGGACACACTCGCGTCCCGGCCCGCGCGCCGCCCTCCCGCCTGCTCCCTTCAGTCACCCCACCCTTAGCTGTCCCCGCCACCTCACTCCACCACCCTCCTCTGCCGCTCCGCGCACTCCGCCTCTGGGCCTCCAGCTCTTCTCTCCCCGAACCGCTCACTTGCCAGCGCTTGGCCCCGGGAAGAAGAAACATTTCCCGAAGCGATCTCCTCAACCCTCCCTTCCCCACCGCGGTCGCCCTCCCCTCCCCCTGCTCTTTCTTGGGGGAGGGGGGCTGTCGCCTCAGATTGAAGGCCATTGATTTGTATGTATTTGTCCCAGTGCCGGAGGCTGCCCCAGCCGCCGGCGTCCGTGCCGCCGCTGCCAGTGGAGTTGGCTCCCTGCTTCCCTAGGGTGGTTCAGGTCCACCAAACATGTCGGCTCCAGTCGGGCCCCGGGGCCGCTCGGCTCCCACCCCGGCGGCCTCTCAGCCGCCTCCGCAGCCCGAGATGCCCGACCTCAGCCACCTCACCGAGGAGGAGAGGAAAATCATCCTGGCTGTTATGGATCGGCAGAAGAAGGAAGAGGAGAAGGAGCAGTCAGTGCTCAAGTAAGGACCGGGCTCCATCTTCCCGCCTCCCTCCTGCCCCTCCGCCCCCTCGGTCGCTGCCCTGCGGCCGCCTGCGCCTCCCGATCGCCACCCTCCCTCCCGCCCGCGGCGCCCCGGCCACGAGGGCTGCAGCCGACGCCGGCCGCCGGGGCTGCTTTCTGGGTGTCAGAGCGTGGGGGTGTGTATCGCGGAGGGAGGGCGCGGAGGCCGGCTGAGGTGACGGTGGCGAGTCTTTGGGCTGTGTAATTTGCCCCGGCGCCCTCCGGCTTTCCCCGCCGGCCAGTTCAGTTCCGTGGTTCTGGTGGGGATGGGGCTGGACCCAGGCTCCTGGTTTCCCTTTTCCCGCCCTCCCCTCCAGGAGGCAGTGACTGGGACAAGGAATCCAATATGGCCGTGCACAGGTGCTCCCTGGCCGGACCCGGGTGGAGGCGCGCCGGCCCGGGTTGCGGGCGCCGCCGAGGGTCCCTTGTCCTGCGCCTCTGCGGGGCCGCTTTGTCCCCAGCTCCGGGAAGAGCGGAGCTGCCCTCGGTAGTCGCCGGCAGGAGGGCGGCGGCACTGGCTAGGGGCCTAAACTCAGTAGTGTTTCGGGTGGGTGTGCGATCGCCGCCATCTTCCAGCCCCTCCCCCTCGGCGGGTGCTAACACCCTGCACTCTGCTGCTCTTCCTATTTGCAACTAGTAAATCTGTGTAATCCTGAAGAGACTCCAGTCCGTATCAGTATTGTGATTTGGCTTGCTTCCTACCTCGTGAAGTTCTACTCTTTGTGCTCGTGGTCCAGGCAGCCCGGATTCTGCCCAGGGTGGGAGGCGAAAAGTAGCCCTAGGCATTGGTTAGATGCTGTGTAACTTCAGCACTAGGGAACTGTCCAGGCAGGGTTATCGGTATCTCTGAGATTGCTCTCTCCTGGGTGTAACAGATTTGTTACTACAGGTTTGCTTTTAAATGTTTCATGGTTATTTGAGTTCTCTGTTAATACGAAAGAGATTGTGCAAAACAAGTGCAACCTTTTTGTGTTTTTCCAACTCAACTTTTTTCTTTTTTCTGTTTTTGCTTGAAATGAGTTGTTTACTGAAAGATTATCTTGTAACATTAACTTGTTAATGTATCTTAATATATCAAGATCAGTTTATATATCAAAGGTGGGACCGTTCTTTTGTTATGTCATCAAATATACTTTCCCCACATTCTTCATAGAGACATACGATTGAAAGTGTCGGGTTCCTCTATGAAGGAAATAACACACTGACTTCTACTCAAATTTAAGAAAACAGGTTAAGTTCAGTATTTCGTGCATTTATGAAGACATATTTTTCGTGGTCCACACATATATATATTTTTCCATATTTTAATAAAAAACACTTCATGTAATTTATGGTAGCAAACTTATGCTAAAAAATCTCATATTAGAAAAAAGATACAATTTCATGATACATTGAAGGACTAAGAGAACAAATGTATTTCTGATATATTAATTGAAATTAAGAATTACTTCTTCAAAGGTAACTTCTGTGTTTGAATATTTATTTGGGAAAGTGATTTATTAGTTGGTATGGGGTATGAAAACTAAGCAATTTGAACAGATTATTTCAACTAGTGAAAGAATAAAGAATTATTTTTAAAAGCATTTTTAGCACACTCCTAACTTTGCTTAACTTTATTGTGGATACTACAAAGCCAAGCTTTTGAAAATTTACAATTTTATGTTTAAATATATGAATTTTTACTTTTTGTTGTACTTGCTAAAAACTATTGTTGCCAAAATGATGCTTAAGGTATAGTTCTTTTTGATCCACACATTTAAATGTAAAATGTGTTTTTTTTAATAGTGGGGTACATAATTGTGTTTATTGGCTACTTCATTACAATTCTACAGACATCTATTTAACATATAGAAATTTAAGTCAACTTTTGAGTTCTGAATTAGGATTATTCAAAATGAACAGTATATTTCATAGGAAAATGTTTTAAAGGTTTTTTTTAGGTAGCTGCATGAGTATATGATATATACATATGTAAAACTACATATTATAAAGATACATATGTTTGTGCATTTAATGTGCATAATTTCAGTAGACATAAAATTCTCTAAATATATATTCATGAAATATATGACATTATGTCCATAAAATAAGTATTTACGTATCTAAATTTATTTATTTAAAATAAATTTATTTAAAATATCTATTTGCATTTCTACCTAACAGTGTTGGAAAGGGATCTTAACCTCAAAATGGCTATATGATTTCAGAACTATTTTTACATTGATTTTAAGGAGTTACTTGGAGAGCTGGGTTTGTAGCCTAGTGGTAGAGTGCTTGCCTAGCATGCGTGAGGCACTGGGTTTGATTCTCAGAACCATATATAAATAACTAAAATAAAGGTCCACTGACAACTAAAAGATATTAAAAAAAAGTTACTTGGAGATTAAAGCATAATATATTTAAAAATTTAGTTTTAAATATTGTTTAAAATGTTTTGTAATAAAATAAAATTAGGCAAGGAAGTTGAAGAATAGAATGTATAACAGAATTATATTAATGAGAGAGAAATCATTTTGAAGAATTTGACAGCTTAATAAGTAGTATATTATCAGTATTGGATATTAAATAACAAATATGATATGTAGGAAAAATACCAATATTCTTCGGGGATTACTATTTCTAAGAAAGTTTTAGGTTGTGACCAAATTGGGCTTTCTCTGTAGTGGTACTCATTTAGTTGTAAGTTAATATCTATTTTGAGAGGTCATAGGGAGAAATAAACTGAAATCCAAATTCATATCTGTTACCTTTTAACAAATATGTTAAAAATGAGTTTGAGGGCTTTGTAATGTTTTGAACAACTAATAATAAAAAATGAGTTTGAGGGGCTGGGATTATGGCTCAGCAGTAGAGCGCTCCCCTAGCATGGCCAGGACCAGGGTTTGATCCTCAGCACCGCACTGCAAAAAAAAAAAAAAAAAAAAAAAAAAAAAGGCATTGTGTTGTGTCCATCTACACCTAAAAAATAAATATTAAAAAAATGAGTTTGATGTGTGGAAGAACTTGAAACTGTTTTATGAAAATATTTTTGCATGATCTGTGTGTTTCAATATTCATATTAAGTGTTAAGCAAAGTGAGATGTGCATACCCAAGGGTATCACATAATGCTTTATTGGAATACAGAAAGAAGGTATTAAAGTTTCTATTTCTATTTAAAAAAGAAATTAAACTTCATTAATATTTAATATATAGATTTACAGTACTAACATACACATAATTTTTAAATAAATGTGCATGTCTTAAGAGGTTCATGCTTGAGATATTTTTTCCTTATTTTTATTCATGCATTGTTACATAGTGGTGGAATTCATTGTTACATATTCAAGCATGTATAGTATATAACAGAGTAATTTGGCCAATATTATTTCTCAGAATTTCCCCTGTCCTTTCCATTCTCCCTCCATCTACCTAGTCCCTTTTTTCTACTGATCTCCCTTTGATTTTCATAAGAACCATCCCCCAGGTTTCTTTTTCTATTTCACTCTTGTTTCCACATATGAGAGAAAACCTACTACTTTTGACTTTCTGAGTTTGGCTATTTTGCTTAACCTAATGTTCAAGAGATATTCTATGCATAAGAGTAGGCATATATATACGTCAAATATTGTATATCTATTAGTGTGTGTGTAGACATGTTTGCATGTATGTACACATGTATGTATTTATGTAAATATAAAAACAAATTCTGTAAATATATAGCAGTCTTATACATTTTAATGACATAATATCTCATTTGATGAACTTTCTGTAATTTCTTTATTATCATATTTATGGGTATTTAAGTTGTTTCTAGCCACGCACCTTCCCCTTTCCTCTTGTACTGGGGAATGAGCCTAGGGGTGCTTAACCACTGAGTTATATCCCCCAGCCCTTTTTATTTTTTATTTTAAGACAGAATCTCAATATAAAATAACACATAATAAAAATTTACCTGTGTCTGCTCATCTCAAGGATGGTTTAGCTCTTTGAACTCTGGTCTTAGGACCAGTATTCTCTTAGGGAACAGTTGTGAACTGACTTCTTTTATTGTTTTAGCTATTCTAAAGAGTCTATAAAATACATATGAATCATTAGAACTTGGATATAATTACAACTTGGGATATAGTGGGTTGGGATGGCAACTAATAGAGTAATGGTAAAATGATGAAAAGGGAGAAAGAAGAAAAGAGGACAAAGGAAAAAGGGGAGAAGGAGAAAGGTCAGGGCTCTTTGAATCCATTCATACTTGGAAGAACTCCACTTAATAGCTTTTAAAACTTTTTTTCTTCTGTGTAGTTCATGCCATATAATTTTTCAAAACTCCTGGCCTCTCTTATCAAAATTTCTCTGTTCCCATTGATAATAGTTGCAGTGAATTTCTTACCCTCTGGCTTTGTTTCATCCTTTGGATATTTTAAACTATCACACAATCTTTTTTATATTAGGTTTAACTGCAATAAATTTCCTTCCTTGTATATATTCCTCCATCACCTCTAATGGAGTTTTGGAGATGTGAATGTATTTTAAGAATATAGACAGGACAGTGGAATGAGATGAACATCAATACCCTAAGTACATGTATGAAGACATGGATGGTGTGACTCTACTTTGTGTACAACCAGAGCCATGAAAAATTGTGCCCTATGTGTGTACTATGAATTGAAATGCATTCTGCTGTCATATATAACAAAGTAGAATAAATAAATAAAATTTAAAAAGAATATAGACAGGAGATTAGCCATGGAAATGACATGTTGAAATTGGTGAAGATTGTGTTTCTCTTTTCATTAGCGTGCTGAATTATTTCTAAACAGGGTCTTAGAAAGTGTATTATGAAAAGGAGATAAATTTTATTGAGTTTTGAGGTGAGAAGTTCCATAGTTATGACTGGAGGTAGTATTATCCAAAAGGGAAAGTTTAGACTCAGTTGTGATACAGTATCTCACATACTTCTTCTCTAATATTGTTATCTAAGAATC